ATCACTTTACTGCAGAAGGGAAATTTGTATTTATTTTTACTCAGAAGAATTTACCAAGAAGAATAAAATATCAGTTCTGATAAAACAGAAAGAAATCACCATAATTTATTTTAGTTTGGTTAATGAGATAGAAATATGCACCATAAATTTTAATTGGGTACATCAACATCATTTCACAGAGAAAGAAAACCGACAGCTGGGCAATACTGGGACCAACCAAAATGCCACAAATATGTGCAAATGTTTAAGTGCTACAGAACTTTTTATCAGATTAGGTCTTCCATATTGCCTGATGAAGAGTTCTGGAGAACATGAAGGTTTGCACACCTTTGTTGCATTTTGGTTGATCCAGTGCCAACTAAGGCATTGCCCAGCTGTAGATTCCATTTTCTTCTTTAATGGCTCAAAATAACCATTATTGTTTTCTTTTAAAATCATAATAACAAAGCATTGATAAATCTGATGGGAAATGTGTTAGTTTTTGGTTAGGTATATTGACACATTAGATTCCACATACATTTAGTGTTGTGTGCCTTCAAGTCATTTCTGATTTATGGCAATCCTACGGCCAACCTATCACAGAATTTTCTTGGTAGAATTTGTTCAGAATGGTTTTATTTGCCTTCCTCTGAGGTTGAGAGAGTGTGACTTGCCCAGGGTTATCAAGTGAGTTTCTATGTTGAATGGGGAGTCGAACCCTGGTCTTCCAGTGTCCTAGTTCAGCAGTCAAGCAAATATACCACACTGGCTCCACATGCATACCTAACCCAAATATTAGAATGTTTACACTAAATGTTGAACCAGAGTCAGCAGGGTAGTATCTAATCCCATTTTCCTTCAAATGCACTTGGAGGAGAAACTTCTTGAGTGGAGAGTATTAAACCCTAATTCTCCATTGAAATCTCCCCCAGCCATGTTTAAGAAAGAAAGCGCCTACTTTGAAGGGAAATATCTGGTGGGAGGGTATTCACATGCAAATGAAAACCAGTGGTTGCAATTTGGTCTGCTCCCTTGAAAGTGTATCTCTGAAAGGTGTGCATCCACAACTTGTTAGCTTATTTTTGAAGACCAACCCCATGGAAGGAATCAGGTGAGAATAAGACTGGCCTACATTCTATATTCATTTTTGAGGTAATGTCTGTGTTTAAGTTTGAGCTCTGGAAATGTGGTATGTGACTGTGATATATTATTTCTGCATAGGGATGAGTTTAAATTAATCAAATCTCTGATTTTTTTTAAAAAAACACTTCATACTCTGATCATGTGGAGGCTTCCTGGTCACCTTAGCCCTTCCTAGAAGACCTACCGTCTATGGAAGGCGATGGAGGTTTGCAAACTGATTCCCATTAGTAGGGAGATGGGGCAAAGCTTAGACATGACACTCAGTTGATTTTGTTCCTGTCTCATCTTCCATGTGGGCAAGATGATGTAGGAGGGTGAGGCATATTCAGCCAATGCTCCATGCCCTCCAATTGTCTTGATTTGGTAGAGGCAGTCCCAATTGTCTGCCTTCCTACATTTTCAGTTTCTCTCTCCTCCTCCCACTTTTCCCCTTGATCCTCCATTCACTTCAGTTCCTCCAAACGGAGTGCAAAGCAATAAAGTAGTTTGCATTCAATCATTATGCACTGGGGAGAAGCTAAGAGGGGTCAGAATCTTGCCCTTCCCTGTAGGCTCAGGCAAAAGCAATCCACTACAACCTGGCTTGTGTGTTCTTCCTCATTTAACCACACTCTGAAGTTGGTTGGCCCTACAGTTCCTGGTTTTCATCTGTGAAAAGTTGGAGGAGATGGTGCTTTGAATGCTAACTACAGACCTCTGGACATAAAGCTCTGGTTGAAGGAGGCTAGCTCAGCAAAGTGCACTCAGCCAGCATTTGGAGAGTTGGCTGAGTCCCAAGGTAAGGTTCAGCTTTCAAAGAGCCAGGTGAGCAAACCTATCTTGGCTCTTGCTTTCCCTGCACAGGAAAGGCACATGGGGAGCAAAACCCACACCCTGGCCAAAGCCCTGACTGGAAGTGACAGGTTCTCTGCTTCAGTGATCCAGCCTTCTGTTCCTCAAACTGGTTCTCTACTCCTGATTTGTGGGAAACCCATACTTCCTACCACATCCCAATGGTGTAATTGGGTACTTTTAGGACTTTCGCACACAAGGCAATAAACTGCAACAACAGCTGGTTAATAGCATCTTCTGCTGGGACATATACGGTATCTTGCCTAGTGCTATCTTGGTAGGAGATCATTTGCTAGGCATTTCTTTTCATATATGGAAAATCTCAGTGAATGACCTCTTTTCCCATTTCTGGGGTGTTAGCATTCACAGCGCACTAAATCAATTCTGCTTTTATCCTGATTTTGGGTTGCCTTTGGGTGGGCTTTAAGATTTAGGTATTGCTTGCCCTTTGCCTGCCAGTGATCAGGGATGAAGGAGTTCCTGATGAGCAGATGAGATTAATCACTGGCAGATTATTCACTTTAATCTGCCAGCAATTCATCTTTCCTGAATCAGGAAGTCCCCCCCCCCCAAAAAAAGTCCTTTTTAAAAAACAAGGCTCCTTGTAATTTCTATTTCTTTGGGGGGTGTCTGTGTGTTTGTACCAAACTAGTTACACGCTGGGCAGTACTGGGTAGTACTGGATGGGCAGTTCCAAATGCTGCATGCGATAAGGTATTAGCACAAACGAAGGCTGTAATGCCAGAAAGATTATGACGTTTATGAAAGTGTGATAAAGAAGAGAGCAGTCCTGCAAAGCACTTTTGAAAAGACCACAGTTTTAACAGGAGAACAGCCTGGTGCGATAAAGTCCTTAGACTTTGTAGACTTAAAAGTCTTTCTTACTTTAGTCCAGACTCTGCATTTAATGGACCTCCTCTTTTCAATGTGAATGTGTATTACTTTATGTATTTCTAAATGTGGTATGATAATTCTGCTACATTTATGGATCATCATGCACATTTGTTTGAATAAGAACTTGGATTTCTACTCCAAAGTCCTGTTTTTATTAGTCATAGCACTTCCTCCAATTTGTGTTCTCACAGGATATAGTATATCTTGATTTCAGTAAGGCCTTTGACAAGGTTCCCC